GAGGGCAAGGCAACCAAAACTTAGGAATGTGGGTGCAAATAAATTCACAGGTTTGGTGGTCAGAAGTTGAAGGTGTTTCCAACTTACAGCTTCCATTTGCACTGCAAAATAGGGAATAAAACCAACTACAGCTATGGATATGGAAGCAGTGGGGTCACACGTTTAAGAAGTATGATGGTTTTGAAATAACAAAATACGATGGTTTTAAAAAATCAAACAGAAAACTGATGAAAGAAATAGAACAGCTGGACAGTAACAGGGGTTGCTATGAACATTAAATGAGACATGTATGTAAAGTGCATGGCACTTTATAAATATTCATGTCCTTCTCCCCTCCTACCACCATCTTAAATGGAAGAAACTGTCTTATATTTGCATCATCTATCATTGCCCATACTTCATGTTCAATTTTTGTTGAATTGGTTCTAAATCTTCACACATATTAGGTGAGATACATTTTTTGAGTTGGACTGAATCCTTTCGGCAGAACTTGGCTATTACTGTCAGAGGGGTCGCTGGTGCACTGAGGAAAATGGTAGCTCTTGATACTAGACTCACTAAACTTCAGAGAACCTGGATCCTCCAGCCAGGAAAAAGGACTGTGAACTTTGCATGTCATTCCGTCTGTCTCCAAGTCTCGATTTCCCTACCTATTAAACTGGGATACGACACTCGCCAAACCTACAAAACCATAACCAACATGACCGAAAGAGCTTTGTAAACAGTGTAATATACAATCTCAAAGGCTGAACACATTGATGGAATCCTTTGGGGAGGTAATTTTTCACAGTATCAAGAATCATAAAAATGTTGAAACCTATTGACCTAGGCATCTCCTTCCCAGAAATACATCCTACGACAAGGGTTTCCACCCTTTTCCTATCCGTCCACCCAACACATCCCCACAGATGGCACATTCCTAGGTTTTGGACTAACGCCTATTAAGCGAGGATGTGAATCACGTACGATCCCTGTTTTGTTGCCACTCAACAAGATACAGCCCAGTGAAGGAAGTCATTCTGAGAATCATCTGAATTAAGTAATTCACCAAATGCAATATTTCACTTATTAACAAATTAGCTGCAAGTTCCACAACCCATCAAGAGAAGCATTCAAGACTTGGCATTCAAGTTGAGAACTGCCATCCTTATGAAATAACTCAAAGGAATGAAGAACTGCATATACCTATGAATTAGGCTGGTCGGCAATAATGATAGTAACAACGTCAGCTCTTTCCTATCCATTCTCTCATTGCTTCCTCATGAAAATCGTGTATGGTGGACAGGAGGGATTTATACCTTCTGTTCTCCAGGTGGAACCATGGGTTTCTATTCACTCAAAATAATTTGACAGCCAACAGGCATGATGGATAGAGCCTTCTTATTTTTTTTATTTCTTCTAAAAAAAAAAACAACAAAAGGATACAGGTGCAGAACATGCAGGTCTGTTACACAGGTATATGTGTGCCATGGTGTTTTGCTGTACCTATTGATCCATCCTCTAAGTGGCCTCCCTTCACCCAACCCCCAACAGGCTCTGGTGTGTGTTGTTCCCCTCTCTGTGTCTGTATGTTCTCAATGTTCACCTCCACTTACGAGTGAGAACAAGTGGTGTCTGGTTTTCTGTTCCTGTGTTAGTCTGCTGAGGATGATGGCTTCTAGCTTCATCCATGTTCCTGCAAAGGACATGAACTCATTCCTTTTTATGGCTGCATAGTATTCCATGGTGTACACGTACCACATTTTCTCTATCCAGTCTATCATTGATGGGCATTTGGGTTGGTTCCATGTCTTTGCTATTGTGAATAGTGCTGCACTAAACATACGTGTGCATGTGTCTTTATAGTAGAATGATTTACATTCCTTTGGGTGTATACTCAGTAATGGGATTGATGGGTCAAATGGTGTTTCTGGTTCTGGATCTTTGAGGAATCACCACACTGTTTTCCACAATGGTTGAACTAATTTGCATTCCTACCAACAGTGTAAAAGTGTTCCCATTTCTCCACAGCCTCTCCAGCATCTATTGTTTCCTGACTTTCTAATAATCACCATTCTGACTGGCGTGAGATGGTATCTCTCTGTTGTTTTGATTTGCATTTCTCTAATGATCAGTGATGTTGAGCTTTTTTTCATATGTTTGTTGGCCACGTAAATGTCTTCTTTTGAGAAATGTCTGTTCATATCCTTTGCCCACTTTTTGATGGGGTTGTTTTTTTCTTGTAAATATGTTTAAGTTACTTGTAAATTCTGGATATTAGACCTTGGTCAGACGGGTAGATAGCAAAAATCTTCTCCTGTTCTGTAGGTTGCCTGTTCACTCTGATGGTAGTTTGTTTTGCTGTGCAGAAGTGGACGCAGCACTCTGAGAGGTTTCATGGCCTGAATGACTGACATTATCTGGCTGTGCATCCTGGGGCACATGGCTTCAACCCCCTGAGTCTCCTTTAACTCAAACTGCTTCCACAGCTGCTGAATGGTTCAAATTGGCTACCTGATGTGAATGTGCTTTGAGATGCAAATACATACAAAGGTGACATGTCTGATGGCTTGCTGGCTCTGTTCCTAAGCCAGAACCAATGATAATACTTCAGGTCCAAAAACTGGCCTTCCCTTTACCCACTCCTGTTACCAACACTCTAGGGTTTCCAGTCAGCCTGCACATTGGCACACCTAGGCATGGATAAAACATGGCCATAACAAGGCAAAATAAATATTTATTAGAAATCAAAAAACCATTTCTTCAATGGCACAAACATGTTCTTACTCTTTGTACGATTTCTTCCTTGAACATAGAGTTTCACACACACACACAACACTAAGAACAAGTAGGTAAATGAGAATTTACAAGGATTCGGCACATTCAAGGATAATGGGATGACAATTCTGTGTTTGGAACCAAGATCACAGTAAAAAATATGTAAGTCAATGCAGAAATCAAGTACGGCTTACAGGCCCGGATGACGGCCCATCTACTTGGGCCCTGCCCAGAGCGAAAGGACACAGGTCACCAGGCCTTGAGGAGGGAAAGGAATGTCAATAATACTGGACTCTCTCAGGCTGGAGCCTTCTAAGAGCTTAATGACTTCACAGTACAACCTCCAGCACCTTCTCCCACATCCCAGGGAGGAAGGTTAAGCACCTTTTATTCCAAACAGATATATCACATAATGTCTAGAATAATGAATTCTTCTGAGGAAAAGTTTAGCTAAAGGGGCATTTACAGCCAAGGCACTATCTGAGCCTGGGAGATCCCATCCCTGGAAAACGCCTTCCCCTGAAATTACTGAAATGTCAATCACGGAGTTTTAAGATGTCCTGATAGACCCATGGGTTCAGTGGGGTGTGGGTGTGGGTATATGGGGGGGTGGGTGTGTGTGGGTGAGTGTGGGTGTGCTTTTGTGCACCCTGTGGGCACAACTGAATTTTCAACTAGTCACAGGGAACATAGGGGACAATGTTGACTGCCAAATGAGACACCTGAGAAAACAGTCCTGCCTCCCAATATAAGCCAACTACAAAGAAAGACTCAAAATGATGGAATAACTGTGCTTTTTAAAACTAAACAAATAATGGCTCAGGGAGACATCTGTGATCCAAGAATCAGGACACTCCAACCTCCGCAGCTCTGATATGACCTTCCCGCATGACTTTGCCCAAGTACATATTCCTCTTGGAGCATTAGCCTCCGGAGGTAAAATGAAGGAAGTGGTCCTTTTCACTCTGATGCTTCTTGACTCATGGCTTCCCTTGGTAAACCTACCTAGGCTCAGACCTTTTGGCTGAAAGCCTTTTGGGGTGGACATGGTTGGGAAGAATATCCAATACAGAAAATGGTCTTGCCAACCAATTCCATCCAGACCCACAGAGAGCAGCTCTCCATCACGTGTGAGATGACAGACATTCATCTGGCTCTCCATTCCGCACTTGGACAAAAGCTGGCAGGTTAGGCAAATAGAAATCGATAATTGGCTTTATCCATTAATATCTGACTCAAAGCAATTCTGGATATGGCTTTATCCATCAACATCTGAGTCAAAGCAATTCTGGATATGGCTTTATCCATCAACATCTGAGTCAAAGCAATTCTGGATATGACTTTATCCATAAGATACGGCTTTATTCATTAATGGATAGGACTTTCTCCATTAATATCCGAGTCAAAGCACTTCTGGAATTCCCAGCTCCACAGTGTAGAGCGTGGCATCATGAATCCTAACCACTTCCTTTCAGACCAAGATGTCTGTTCAGGCTTAATGCGGGTAGCTAATTCCAGATGTGGAATGCTGCTCTGCAGAATCTCCAGGCTAAAAGGAACCTTACACTTCTTCCAATGACCATTTTCAACAACATCCCTCACTAAGTGCTCGACCAGCTTTTGCTTAAACATCTCCAACATCTGGAGCAGCTGCTGGATTGGATTGAGCCAAAATCTTTCTCAATTTCCTAGTTCTGCCCATTCTGGAACACATCCGCTCCTCCTGTCTCTAGGACAGTCCGCCTCAAATCTTCTCTTCTCCAGAGGCCCATGCCCAGCCCCCACCACTGTGGCTCAGAGTATGTGGTTACTCCCTGGGTCAGCCGGGAAGGCAGGGGCTGCTGTGGACTGTGAGGCCTCATACACCCCAGCCCACCTCTCCCCAACCAGCCCCATCAGGGGCACAGAGTCTCTATCTGCCCAGCTAGTCTGGCACACGGAGTGGCCCAGAGCAGAGCAACTGGCCCAGAGTGCACTGCCAGGTCCGCACTCCTCAGTTTGCCTCAAGCCAGATGAACTAATCAATCGCCACGTTATCTGAAGGCCAAATTTCTATTTCTGCTATTTAAGATTAACATTCACGGTTACTATTTTTATAATTCCACCTCGAACATCTTTACATGAATCCTTTCACTAGCTAATGGTGGCAGAGTGGATTTTCTGGTGGTTTCGGCCCCAGTCACCTGGCAAATCCTTCCGTCTCCACTTCACCTCTGCCCCCAGACTGACTCCGTCTCATTTCAGAAGGAGAACATCAGAGGATGAGGACCTAAAAATAAGCTCAAAGTCTTGGCAAAGGCTTCTCTCTCACAAGCTCCCCCTTCAGCTTCAAAATTCACAGTTAAAAAAAAAAATACTTCGTACCAAAGCAGTTGAGGCATTTTGTTAAATTCCCCCACTGAGACATACTGAGGTATGTGACTAACTGCTGAGTTCTAAGATGGCATCGATCGAGCAGCTGCTATTTCTGCTTCAGCTGAAGCCAAGATCCCAGCGCAGAGGCAGGCACTACTGCGAGGCCAGGACACGGACAAGAGCCAGGCCCTTTCACCCAGATCGCGGCGGCCCAGCAGAACTTGCCCGGCGTGTCTCATGCAGACTTTTGTGTGTGTGAAGAAAAGCTTTTTGTCTGGCTCTGGGCACCTTGAGGCCAAATATATAATACTTACATCCAGCCCCAAAGCTCCCAATCTGTCTCCACTTTTAAAATCACATACTTCATTGTAGTAATTTTCATTCTTAACTGAAATGTCTTTTCCATATTGAAAATTTAAACCCTGTATTACTTATGCTACTAAAAACCTGTCTCAGCTTGAGGCAGTGTGAACCTTGGGGCGTCAGGCGAGGTTCACTCCAAGGATGGTCTCCTTTTCCCTGAAGGGTTCCGGAAGGATGTTTCCCGAGCTCATTCCCTTCCTCCCCCAGGATATCCAGCTTACCTCCGTCCCCGGCACACTCTGGGATGGGATCAAGGGTCTCCCCAAATTCAGGCAACCCAGTCACAGCAGGAGAGACGGTACAACGTGTGGGCTGGGGCTGGGGGAAGCTGGCAGGAGGAAAGGCGCCTCTCCCTGCTCCTCAAGGCTCCTGCCCCTTCCCTGCCACCCATCTCTCCCAGCCAAGCCCACCTGCAACTGGTAAAACCAGAGGCTTCACCCAGGACTTCAGGAGGCTCCCAGGCTCCAGACTGCTGCTGGCTGTAGGTTTACACCAACTCCTTGCCCAGTAACAAAATCCAGGATATTTTCCATTCAGACAAACTGACAACTGCCCCTCAGTTCAGACACCCACTGAGCACTGAGCATGAGGGTGCACTCTGCTGCTACACCAGCAGAGCCGGACTCCATCATCCCTCAAAGCCTCTCCGCAGGGGCCGTGACTCCGCCTGCAGCGCCAGACAGCGCACGCGCACGCCGGCTCCGGTTCCGCTTCTACACCGACGTTTCCGGGAAATCCTCTATTTCTTCAAAGGCATTGAGAGTGGTTTTGCTGTTGTTCCTGGAAGAATCTTGGATTTTGTTGAAATCTGCTTTTTAAAAAATATATATTTTAGAAATAGATCACTCTGCATAATGTGTTTCTTTGTCTTTTTTTTTTTTTTTTTTTTTGAGATGGAGTTTCACTCTTGTCACCCAGGCTGGAGTGCAGTGGTGCAATCTCAGCTCATTGCAACCTCCACCTCCCAGGTTCAAGCAATTCTCCTGACTCAGCCTCCTGAGTAGCTGGGATTACAGGCACCCACCACCACGTTCAGCTAATTTTTGTATCTTTAGTAGAGACGGGGTTTGCTGGCCAGGCTGATCTCAAACTCCTGATCTCAGGTGAGTCACCCAACTCGGCCTCCCAAAGTGCTGGGATTACAGGCGTGAGCCACCGTGCCTGGCCTGCATGGTGTATTTCTATGGCTTAGGGCTACACCATTTTAAAAGTCGTGCCAACTAGAGTTCTAAAAGTCAGAGCTGGAAGAGACCTAAGCAGCATTTCCATTCAACCCTCCCATTTGACAGATGAGGAAAGTCAGGACCCTTAGATTTGATCTGCCCAAGGTTAGGTGGTCTGAGACAGGAGTGGACACCACGTCACCTCACAGCCACAGTACCTGTTCGTCTGACAGGCCCCGGGTCTTCGTTAAGGAAGGAGACGTGCGTCTTCCATTCAGTCCACTTCACCTCATTGATCCTGCAAGTGGCATCATCATTCTTACTATTTCACCAGTGCCTCATGGAGTGCAAACAAATAACCCTGGTTTGGGACGTCCTGGTGTCTATACAGCTCCCCTTCTGTCTGTCCTGGAGATCAGGAGCACCCTTGACCCCAGTGGTCACACCAGCGTTGTTGGAGTTTGAACTCTATCCCCATCTCCATGTCCCCAGGCCTCAGAGAATCAGTTCTCCTTCCATTGTAGGGAACTCAGAAATCCTGCAAGTTGCTCAGACAGGTATAAAGGGTCCAACTTCAGACAACAGCAGCTGTGCCTGACTGGTGACAGCCCAAGGGGAAGCGGGGACAGACAGAGGGAGGGCCCAGGCCGCGAGGGTGTGAAGATTAAACTCCAAGTGTAGCTGGGGTTGAGGAGGCACGAAGAGCCTGTGGTTAGGGTCTATGCCCCAACAAAAGTGGGTGGCGTCTGAGGTGTTCGAATACAACCATAGGCATTGATGTGACTTAAATTCACATCCAGAGGTCTCTAGAGTGAGGGTGACAACATCAGAAATGTTTGTTAGGGTAATCATTGCAGTCAGAAATGAAGCTTTCCAAGGGGTGGGGTTTCAGTCAGAGAAGTGGGTTAAGGTCATACTCAAAGAAAGTGGTCCGTAGGCTCAGGTAGCTGGGTCAGGGTTGGAGGAGGTGGGCTTATCTGAAAAGGTGGTCATGGAACTGGGCGCGGTGGCTTATGCCTGTAATCCCAGCACTTTGAGAGGCCAAGGCAGGTGGATCACTTGAGGCCAGGAGTTCAAGACCAGCCTGGCCAACATGATGAAACCCCATCTCTACTAAAAATACAAAAATTATCCAGGCGTGGTGGCATGTGCCTGTAGTCCCAGCTACTGGGGAGGCTGAGGCATAAGAATCGCTTGAACT